CAGGAAAAATAAGATTTTCTGGAAAAAGAAGTGTTTGTAGCAAGAAACCAAGGAAAGGCTAACAATTTGAGCTGAAAGTCAGAACTACTCAACTTTAGGTTCTTTGTTAGGGAAAATTACCTTCATACTGAAAAAGATGGGATGAACATGTACCAAAGAGAGAACTAAGCCCTGAATAGCTGATGAGAGAGTTAGACCTCACTTTGTCATTTTAAATGAATGCCAGTTTTTAGGCCAATGACAAATTGTAACCAGGGGTAATTTCTGCAGAGATCACAGAAATTTAGGAACTGGGGAATTTTGGATACTAGATCAGTTAATGCCTCATTTTTCAGAATGGGCTAAAAGGTGAGTTAAAAAAATTAAGACTACTTGATATAGATCCTAGGAAAATTCTAGAACAGATTACCAAACAGATGGTGTCTTTTCACTATCTGGCTGAAAATAGTCACGTCTTGCTCTTGTCAGAGCGCCTGCTTCTGGCAGCTCTCCTTCACTCCACTTGACAATTCTGATAGTGCTTACTATGCCCCAGGATCTAGGATTTATAGGCCTTTTCTCACTTAATCTCAACACAATTCTATGAGATAGGTAATCCACTTTACAGATGAGAAAACTGCCAGATTAAATAATTTCCAAAAGGTATATTATTAGCAGGCAGTTGCACTGCCACAATTCAAACCTCCACCTCTCTGTGCATACCCATAATTTCTGTGCTGCGCTGCTATAATCAAATCTGCTATGGAATGCAAAATAAAATCAGCATGAAATTAATTAAATTATTTCCAAAGTAAAAGTAAAGAGGCCCTAAGTAAGTGTCTTAGTCTGTTTTGTGCTACTATAACAGAATAAGTTAGACTGGGTAATTTATAAAGAACAGAAATTTATTGGCTCAGGGTTCTAGAGGCTGGAAAGTCCAACATCCATACACTGGCAGGTTTGGCAATTCTGATTTCAAGATGGCACATTGAACACCGTGTCTTCATGTGGTGGAAGGCAGAAGGGCCAAAATAGGGCAAGAAGGGTCCAAACCTGACCTTTTACAATAGCATTCATTCCATCCATGAAACTGGAGCCCTTATGGCCTAATCACCTCTTAAACATTCCACCTCTTAATACTGTTAAAATGGCAATTAAATTTCAACATGAGTTTTGGAGGAGACACATTCAAACTGCAGCAGTAACTGTCCTGTGAAAGTTCTTCTATAATAAGGTTGTAAGGCATACACTTTTTATCATCTGCTTTTGTTGATCAGAAACTTTTGCTAATACCCAAGTTATGGGAAAAGTGATCCTGGATAAGTGAACCACTAGGAAATGCCTAGTGGACTTTAATTTTTTTTCTTAAACAAGAGTATAATACAAACCTATCCCTAAAGCAGAGATAGTTCACCTTTGAGCAAACTTTTGAATTGAAAATTTTACCAAAGTGATCTCTTTAGTTTTACAAATATAAAGGAAATAATGAACAATTTTTTTCTAAAAGT